TTTTTTTTTTTCAGACACAGTCTTGCTCAGCTGCCTGGGCTAGAGTGCAGCGGTGGCATCATAGCTCACTGAAACCTCTAACTCCTGGGCTCAAGTAATCCTCTTGCCTCAACCTGCTGAATAGCTAGGACTACAGGTATGCTCAGCTAATTTTTCTGTTTTTTTTTTTTTTTTTGCAGAGACTGGGTCTCACTATGTTGCCCAAACTGATCTCAAAATCCTGGACTCATGTAATCCTACTTAACCTTTTCTATTTCTTCTTATGTGAAATGTCTATATTGGTAAGTTTATAAACTTCAAGCACAATAGATGTTAACATCTGACAACATACTTTTTCAAACACATTAGTTTTTGTCTTTATTCCTGATTTGTTAAGAGTATACTTTTTTATAGTATTTGTATTTCTAAACGATTTGTGTAAGAGCTGGATGCAGTGACTCACACCTGTAATCCTAGCACTCTGAGAAGCTGTGGCTGGTGGATTGCTGACCTCCAGGGTTCAAGACTAGAGCCTGAGCAAGAGTAAGACCCTATCTCTGAAAAAAAAAAGTAGCCAGGCATTGTAGAGGGCACCTGTAGTGCCAGCTACTCGGGAAGCTGAAGCAAGATGACTGCTTGAGCTCAAGAGTTCGGAGGTTGCTGTGATTTATGACATCATAGCACTCTACCGAGGGCAAGGGAGTGAGAATGTCTCAAAAAAATAATACAATAAAATAGGGCTGGGCACAATGGCTCAAATCTGTAATCCCAGCTCTGAGAGGCCGAGGCGGGTGGATTGTCTGAGCTTACAGGTTCAAGACCAGCCAGAGCGAGACTGCATCTCTAAAAATAGCCAAGTGGTTTGTGGTGGGCACCTGTAGCCCTAGCTACTTGGGAGGCTGAGGCAAGAGAATCTCTTGAGCCCAAGAGTTGGAGGTTGCTGAGAGCTATGGTGCCATGACATTCCACCAAGGGCGACAAAGTGAAACTCTGTTTCAATAAATAAATAAATAAATAAAATAAAATATAATGATTTGTATATACTGTATTAAATGTTAAAACTGAGGTCTGCTTAAAGCAGGGTGCAGTGTTATGTAGAAAAATTAAAATTCCATGTCAATGAAAAGACATATCAAATTTTAAGACTGGGCAAGATACACTTCAATGTCCAAAACTCATAGTTAAAAGAACTATAGAGAAACACAAAGCAGTAATTTCTATAAAAATCAGGATAATGATTACTTTTTTAAAAAGGTTAATTAACTTTATTTTTTACATTATTTTTTATTAAATCATAACTTTGTACATTGATGCATTTATGGGGTAATGATTACTTTTGAGTGGAGTCATGATTAGCCATGCACAGGGAGAGGATTGTTGGGGTAGCTGCCAAAGTTTTATTTTTTTGACCTAAATAGTAGTTTTAAGGGTGTTAGCCTTCATTAAGCTACAGATTTCTTTTATATATATTTCTGTATCTGTACTTTAGTTCACAACAAAAATGTTAAAAGAAAAAGTTTGTTAATTCCATTCTTCAAGTAGTTCAAAAATATAAAGACATCACATAAATGACTAAAAATTATACTGTTACAAAATCAAGACAAACATTCATAGAAAAAGAGAAAGTAATAATGCTCCCAGAGTTTTAGTAATATTCTAAAAATACATATTCTATGTTAACAAAAGGCAATTTTTACAAATAATCTGAAAAATTAAGAAAAAAATGAGATAAGATTTGGATCAATGAATTAAAAGAAATACATTGTTAAAGTAAATATCTTTATGAAGACCAACAAATGAAGAATTCATGTAAAATTTCAAAATTAGAATATGTTTCTTAATGGTAATTACACTTAATAAGTACAAAATCAGAGTCCACCCTTTTAAAATGAAAGACAAAATTTAAACGTTAACATTATGCACAAACATCACAAAAACAGCCTGAGAG